AACAGATTCGAACGCAGGCCTTCACGAGATTCGTACTTTGAACGCCGCATGTCAATGAATTCAAAGGGAAAACTTGGCACGCGTTATTCGAACAACGGATATTGCGATGACTCGTGTTTGCAGACTGTCCTTTGCTTGATGTATGAATTCAGTGTGACCCCGGCTTTGTGTCACTCCATGGTCATGCCGTGTGGATGAAAACTAGCCCCATGCTCGCCATCCTCACTTCCAATCTAAAGGGAGACCAGTGACTGGCGTTCAGACTATAATGTGTGGATATTCCTATAGGATACGTAAGGGTATTTCTATAGGAGTGTAAACTGAGGTAATTGTGTTTGTCGGGCTACACAGGGCAGGTGGCAAGCAGGCATTTTATAGTGTGCGGGCCTTGCCCTGATACTCTAAGAACGACAGGCCGTAATCAGCCCCGATGATCTCAGTATCACTGGGCTACGAGATCGCAGCATTGCCCAACAAAAACACCCGAAACGAACCGCCAAGTCACAACTTCCAGAGCCCCACTCCTCAAGTTGCTCCGCTAACCAGACCGGGTCTGAATGCGACATTCCAGTGTCACGATGCCCGGTGGTCGGAGACTCACAGTTTAGACTAGCTCCCAAAGGATAGACAAGAAGTGTAAACAAAGAGACGAGGGCCACCCCCCGCTTTCCCGACGGCAGCATAAACAACTGCCACGAGGAGAACTCGAAAATGGCCACACATTCGCTGTCAAATATATAGCGTCGAAGCTCACTGGCAGCACGGAGTCCACATGCGCCCCCCGCACGTATGTGCGTGTGTGACGGCAAACATCGGACCGTCGCTCACTTGGATACACAAGACCCTTCCCAAAGTATTGTTTCTTGGGAAGGCCCGCTCTACAGTTCCAAGAGCCAGACTTTACTCTCAAGCTGCCTCTAACCCGAAGAGTGTCACTGACGCGTCAATATTTGCGCCCGTCAAAAGAGAGACAGGCTAAAAAAGAAACAAATCGGCAATGAATATAGATGTTCGTTTGCCTGACTGCCGCCACCGCCATGAGGCCTTCTACAGGGTCGCTGAGTTGGCGAGAAGGTGGCGGATCCTATCAGCTCAAGTATACCTCTTGCGTCACAGGAACTCCGGCAGCTCGCATGCAGCCCTTTCCCGAAGTGACGGCTAGGTCAAAATATGGCTCACAAAAAAAAAAAAAAAAAAAAGAAAAACTCGGCGTACTCCGTACATTCTTTGCGGCGCCGACTGACGTGATGTGACGGCGCAGACTTTATGTAGAACATGGCGGCGTATACAGCTTTTCAGCTCTTATCATCCAGGTAAAAAATGCTGAATCAGTGGCTGTGGACGCATGTGTCGCGTCTATTCCACGGAAGGGGGACTGCTGAAGCCCAGAGGGCGCTCCACTGCCCACTAGACTGCACTAAAGTCCCTAGATGAGAGCTTCCTACAAGTAGCGACATTCTTTGAAGCGCCGACTGCGTGACGGTGCAGGTTTTAGGAAGCGAATGGCGGCGCACAGCAGATGTTTGAACTGAATGGCGTTATTATTATTATACTCACTGTCAAATATCTCGGGATACATTTCGATTCCGACCTTTCATAGAATTCGCATCTCACAAAAGTATATAAAAAGAAAAAAAAGAGAAAGAAGAAGAAAACGAAGAAGGAAGAAGTACTAGTAGTAGAGGCAGATAGTAGATCGAAGTAGATAATAGTAGCAGTAGTAATAGCTGTAGTAGTAGTAACGGTAATAGTAGTAGTAATAATAGGTATTGTAAAATTAACAGTGATTCTAATAAAAATAGTAATAATTATAGTAGTAATTAATAATCCTTCGAAGGTTTACCATAGGCCGCTACTTACGGCTTTGCTGCATCCCTAACATGGAGCATTTCCCTTGCTGCTACCCGCCTTGCATGTCATCGCCCGTGCCTTGATTCAAAAGCCCCTGCACACACTTCTGTGCCGGCGTTTTATCAGCGGCGGAGCGCTGCTCTCGTGGTCGATTGCACTTGGCCATCCCGAGGTGGAAGGGGCCAGAGAGGGATCATAAGTTATAACATGTCGGCACTCCGGTCGAACGCTTTGGACAACCAGGTTGCCCAGCAATTGCTCCTCCTTTGGGTCGTTTACGCATATACAGTAGTGCACAAAAAGATATGATATTTCGTTTCTTTTACAGAAGTATTGCTCGACGTCTGGTTGATTGATTAATATATAAATAAGCATCAGTTTCTACTCTATAAATACGTTAATGTAGTGTTCCATTACGATTTTTATATCTGTATCACAGTTCGAAGAAAAGTTACCCACGTAAAACCGAAATATCATATATTTTTGTTCACTACTGTATATACTACATGCTCAAAAGCATAAAGTGAAGATTTCATTTTCGTCATCGCGCACCGACATTAACATTGCCGATGGCTCGCGGAACCGGACGAGGTAGCGCGGTTCAGTTCAAGCGTAAAAAGCGTTTGGACTGGTCGAAGGGACTCTGTCTTCCTCAGAATAGATTTAATTTGTCCGGTAGCTATATATGCGGTCTCACATACTCATAGGAGTACAGGTATCTCGTTAAGAGGTTTAAAATGAACGGCTAGCAGTTCACCGGACGAAAATAAGGATATAGGAAGGGATACGGTCGTCTAGTCGCAGTTTTTTCCCATTTGGCGATGCACTGGATAACTGGCGCCATCTGTAGCGGTTAAAGGGAAGTCAACGCGCTTGCTGAAACTGCCGGGAATATTTCAACGGGCTCAATGGAGGTGATGTGGGCAATATTGGAAACTCAAAGTTCCGCAGGGGGGGGGGGGGGGGGGGGGGGGGGGGAAGGGCCGAGAGAAAGGCCAAGGTTACAAAAAAAGTAGTTTGTGTTTTGCAAATGGAACCTGCGTATAGCCGCTTTTTTTTTTCATTTGTTTTGACGAGTATTTTGTAAATTGTAGCGATTTTGGTAAAGATTTCTTACGTGGTTACATTGTATCTAGTTCCAAAAAATAAAGTAAAAAACAACGTTCGGGCATCCCGTGAAACACTTTTTTTTTTTTTTGAGAAAAACAATAACAATAATCTTACCCGCAAAAAAAGAAAAAAAAATATATATTAATGTCTTTTTTTTTCTACTTTTTCTTGCCACATAATCTTGACTTGACCCCTAATCTTAATTGAGCGAATCCCCATAAGCTTCTTGATAAAAAAAGAAAAAAAAAAAGGCTTTTGCTCTGGGACACGTACCGAGCAGGTAACAGGTCATCTCGATGTCCCGATTACTATGCCGGAACCAAAATACCGCGTAATTCTTTAGTCGCTAGTATACTTTGCTCTTATCAGGCTTCAGTCAAGTACGTTTAGAATATTGCGCATACCGGGATGCACGCTGCATTATAGTCCCTCGACAGTTGCCAAAGTATGCCGAAGCAAGTTCACATATATTTTCCAGGGGAACCATGTTTGGTGCAACAGATCGGATGATATAACAAGGGAACGATGGCAAATCATCCCGTGACAAAAAACAAGGCAAAAAAAAAAAAAGCTATTAAGCAGGTAGAGTGACTGAAGTATATTAAAAGCGCAATACTAGTATGTAGCCCCCGAGAGCCCCTCTGTGATTGAAGTATATTGGCTGAGTATACTTATAGTATGGAATTATATACTGTGCACTCAAAATGTTTCTAAGTAGCTTGAAAGCGTAAGGCATATATACTTGGCGTGTTGATGCGGTCCTGAAAAATAAAGCCTGACTCCACTCGAAACGCCGGCCGGCAGGCAGCGGGAATTGTTACTGCGAGCATATCTTGCGTGCAAATGCGAGTTGTTTTTGCGAGTTGCGTGCAGTGCCGTCTTTTTATTCTTTCGGTTGCCAGCTCATTGTGAAAGTGCTTGGTTTTCGGTATGTTCGAAATGAACCCTGGGCTGACGGTGACGTGTTTGAGCCCGCTGGCGACGAAGGTCTTCGGAGAGGCATGTTCATACATTTTATCGTGGCGCTATTTGGCACTGTGCAAAACACGCGTCTCTGAATTGGGCGACGGATCCACTCGTCGTCATGATGTTCGACGTAACAGCGCACCCTAGAGACTTTCATAAGGACACAAACACATAACCAAAAGGTTGTGTGTTTGTGTCAGCGCCAACTGACTACTCTTGGTTTGTATTTCTTCGTTTTTTTACATTTCGTCTTTCTCTACTCCGAAGTCAAATCGAAAATATTGTGCCGATACCATTTCGATTCAGGCGATATCTGCGATGTGTCTGATGGGTCGCGCCGACGCCATCCTGACATACCGTACCCGCCGCCGTTTTTGGTTGAATGTCGAGTGTGTCGTTTGTAAAAAGGCTATCCTTGCAAGATATTCGGATTTTTTGGCCAACTCAAAACCTATGTTGAAAAAAGAAAAAAAAAACAAAAAACAAAAAAAACAAGGCAACTCAATACGGAATGCGCTTACTTGTAGCCTGAGAAAGACAGGAGAATAAGCAGGGGAGATTAGCTGCATTGTCCATCTCCCTTCGTCTTCGGCTTTTGTTAAAGCTCCTCACCTTCTTTTGTGTCTTCGGCGGCAGCGGAGTATCAGGTATCATTATTGGAGTCATCAGAAACATCTACTAAAATTCTTTGATCTCCACGGACTTTCGTGTTTGATTTGTGAGTTATGCGAGGCATGAAGACAGTTTGAGTCTATTTAATAATTTGCTTTCCGTTCCAAAGAGAAGTCTCTTTTATAAATGTATCGAGAACAAGCTGTGTATATTGATAGTGGTTTAATAAACTTTTGAGTGCAATCGAAGCAATTCCGTTTGGTCGTGTATCTGTGCGAGGCGCGCCCTATATCGGCCATTAACATGTAAGCCAATACTGTCAATATTTTCGATTCAAAGCGGGTGCAAAAGTTGCATCCGGCCGATACAGAACAGGCGCATATGCGACATCTGGCCGATACCCGGACGACAGTTCAATCTCGGCAGTACTCGCACGATATCTCGCCGATACTAAGCCGGTGGCAAAACGGCGGTGCGCCGCTCTGCTCCATCACGCTGGCAGGTCGAGCTCAGCGGCACGGCAAGAAAGGCTTGTCGCCCTTGCTTTAGAGTTTCTGGATCGACGCCTGGAGTTAGGTTTTTGTTCCCTGTTCGAATTTATGTGCTTCTGATTTTAATCGAATGCTTATCAATACAGTTTGGACAGGAATCACGTGTGTTCGACGAATTCAGCGGGTGTGGATTCGCCGAGAAGAGGAGGTCTCAGCTGGCGATCCACCGGTCAGGTAGGTCAATTTCTTCCTAGCTGCGAAGAGCCAGCTCGAGCAGCGCTAACGACGCGAGCTTGTGAAAGTCGTAGTCGAGGAGTGAACCCTCTGTGCTGTCACCGTTTTCGCGGTGGTAGCAGACGGTGTCCACACGTAGACCAGCTTGGTCAATCTGTCTACGTCCTCATTTACAGAAATCCTGCAGTGCGCGGGGACCCCATGAAAATCGACGGTCGACTACGAGGGACTTCGCTGTTCGGGCGAGCGGTGGCGTGTCGTCGAGCTTTGGAGGTGGTGAAGGGCCGTTCGGGAGTCTGAGACTCAAAAGGATGACTAACGACGACAGCGGAGTCGCCGCCCACTCACGGAGCACAATCTCGGTCGCCGCCAGCTCCGTCTCGAGCGGACTCGATGGAGCTGTACATGGTCGACCCCGGTCACCCGCTCTGTACTATCCCGCACGGCCGGCGAACTTCACGGCGTGCCTCGGCTTCTGGGCGTCTTCTCCTTTATCTGCGGGAGATTCATGCTGACGTCCGGTTCTTGGCACGCGATCAGTGGGAGTGCCATTTGTATCACCTATCGCTGTTTGTTTCAAGCGGTGTCGAGTCCGGTTGAGTGGTTCTTAAAGTGTGACTTGTGATTGTGCTGTGTGACGTCTGGAATTGGAGTTCGCTGTTACTTCATTGTAAGTACGCCGCCAAGTTTCGCGCGAAGCGTGATGAAAACTGATGCGGTGTGTTGTTCTTGCTGTTTTTTGTCTTTGTTGCAACTGTTGTCACAAATAAAGTTCTTTTTGCTGTTATTTCGTCTCTCTTCCCTCCATTGCGTCTGTATGCGCGCAAATTCGTGTCCGTGTTACTTTGCGTGCAAAAGTATCCGTCGGAATTCGCGAAGCTCTCGGGAGTGCAGAATTCCAAAATAGGCGCAGGAGTCGTATTAAGTGAAACATTTAAATAAGGAGCTCATGTAGAACAAATTGCGAGCAGAACCCAAACGTACCCCATCGCTATCAATTTGTTATACAGGAGTTTCTGGTTTTACTCTTTTACAAGAGTATGAACAGCAAGCTTGGCGGAGTTTTGTGGCCATTCAAGTAACCGAGGCGAAAACTGGTGTTTCTTCAGCCTGTCGGACGGAGATCGGATGTTTGACCACTCATTAGGGAGTTTTAAAATAGCGCACGCTAAAGCTTTGCGCACGCAAAGAATAGCGTCGTCGCCACTGCGCATGCTCCGAACGCAAACCAGATTTTGCGCCTTGCGTGCGCAATTTTAGCGTGCGCTATTTCTCGGAAATAGCGTGCGTACGCAAAGGGTCTTTGCGCTTCTCCAAGGAGGATTCGTGATAAGAAGTTGGCTAAAGCCAAGACGAGCAGAGTTGAAAAAAAATGGCGGCTTCCAGGATTATGTCAGCGGCTGCTTTGGCGGCGTCGTGAGTGCGACGTCGGCGGCATCCTCGCGACTGCGATTTTCAATACGGGACGACATTCTACTCGGTTTGACAACGATCACCGACAGCTTGATGCTTGTGACGCGCGAACATTTCTGGGCGAAGGTACGATGTGCGAAGGTCAGTACACGAGACCTCTCTTGCCGAGGCGACGCAAGCGGACACGACCGGTAAACCGCTCGCGTCGTATTCTCACGTTTAAACAAATCTAAAATAACACTCTGGACTAAAAAACAAGTTTTTTAGTCCAGAGTGTTATTTTACAGCAAGTTACAGCATTTCGTGTGTGAAATAAAAATTGTGACTGCATCTTGGTGGCGTCGCAAGCGCGAGATGCTTGGGCTTTTGCGTCGCGACGGAGAAACGCTATTCTAAAACTCTCTCGCGTCGCGTGCGCTAATACAAGCGCTAAATTTAGCGCTAGCGTGCGCTAAAATTGCGTACGTTATTCTAAAACTCTCTATTATTTTGTCACTTATCAAACTACAACACTAGGACTCTTTGGCGACACTCTTAAAAAAAAAAAAAAACAACGCCCAACTGTGTTTCTTTAATCAGTTTTAACAAAGTTTGAGAATTTTTTACGTGTTACCTAATCAAGATAGTTTAATGAACATGAACATATCAGAAAGCTCAAACTGATTTTTTAATGAATATCTATTCAACATGATATGTGGAAGAAATAATGTGATATATACATTTGAATTAATCAGTGTTTCAGAAATCTTTCGATTTCATGATTGATTTTTTTCAAAACCATTTTTATTTTTCTTCGTGTTTTTATTAGTAAGATACGTTAGTAGTTTATTAAAAAAAGTTTAAAGTGTAGTATATTGTTTGTATGTGCGCAATCAAAGGTTGAATCTCATAAGACGTGCGTTCTGAATGGGTCTTCGCATGCATGCTATTATATGGCCAATAGTGTGGCATGTTTATGATTAATGACGAAATATTCATATTTGCCTTTACCTGTAGCATACCAATAAGAAAAATTGTGTATAATGTCGTGTAAAAAGATTCAGTATTCGGTAGTTCGCTCGCGCTACACCTATGCTCCCTGCATAATCCGTGGTGCATTTCCTTCAAAGTACGAGGGCAAATCAGAAATTCTTGGCCCGAAATTTTCTGTTTAGCCAAATTGGCTGTAAAGGCGAAGTCAACATATCCGTTCCCAGCGGTGGACCTTTCTCGGACCCGGCCGGCCTTATCTCCCGGTAGCTCCGCGGCACGGCGCTGCTGTCAGTTGTTGAAGATGGGGGTTGTGCTTCACACCTCCACGGCGTACAAGCAGCGAAGTGTGTTCCTTTTTGTATGGAGAAAGGGACGAATGCACATCGAAATCCACAGGGAAATGCAGCCCACGACTGGGGAAAGGTGTCTCGCTTTGAGACGTTCGAGGTGGTATTGTGACTTGTAAGTTCGCAAAAGGCCGTGGAGACTTGCATGGCAATGAGCGTTCGGGGAGCCGGACGAAATCTACCACAGGGGCATCTCAAATTTAGTGCTGCGATTGGACAAATGTCTGCACCGGAGTGGGGACTATGTGGAAAAATAGTGTAAGGTACGTTGAATTGTACGTATATTTGTAATTACCTGTATGTTCCTTATTTTGGCAAATAAAAAATAGCGACAGAGACTCTGATTCGCCACCGTAGATACATTTTCCCCTCAGTCTTTCATTTCCGGCTTTGAGTTTTTACATGTGGCATAGGTTAGACGGCCACCTAGTGGACCACACCCGCCGGCCTTTGCCGGTCTGCCGTTAGTGTATCCAGTAGGGTACAAAAGCTTCAAAGGGTTATCTCTTTGGGAGCAAAGGCAAGCAGGGAGTATCGCAAGACCTGGCATTTGGAGGTCAGCTGGGACGTCGGCGCTCCTCCCTTTTCCTTCCTCTTCCTCCCGTGCATCCTATCTGACATGTTCTACAGAAGAAGGGGATAATGGGCACCTATTCGTTTTCCGTTTGTCTCGAGCAATCTCGAAGCGCTGGTGTTTATCCTATCTCCGTTTTAAGCTCAATAAAAAAGTGTATTCTCTTGATTCCAGAAAGCCAGGAGCGTTCTTTTGTGCTATGGCTTGCAAGTTCAGCGAAGGCCGGCAAGCGTGCTCCGAATGTTCAAAAAGACACAAGAGAATCATTATGGTCGCTATTTCCGTAAAGTTTCAGAGCTTGGCCTCAGTTTAGTTAAGCAAGTTCTACCGAATAATGACGCCGAGCACGTAAACCCCAATGATGTCGTGTGAAAGAACTCCTACACAGTGCTCTGCAGTCAGATCGAAGAACTAGCGAGGTCAGAAAGCATTGTCACCATCCCTGGCGCCAGCAGCGGACACATCATTCAGTTACGAGGAAGCCCTGGTTCAATTAGTAAGTGTGACACTGCTGAAGCTCCCCAGAGTATGTTCGCCCAGACATGTCGGCTACGTTAAACGGAAACGACCCGAAGTGCCCGAGGTGTCACGAAATAAAACTGGTCGTAAGCTGAGCCATGTGTAGGAGCACCTGTAGATCTGGACAGTGAAGAGTCGTGTTGTTCATACGCAGACTGGGCCATAAACTTGCGTCTTGCCTATCTAAAAGCACGTCGCAAATAAAACGCTACCGCCTGCTAACTTTGTTGCTTTCCAATCTATAAAAGAAAGATATTTTAAAAGCAATCCCTGAAGCCACAAAGCACGCTGTGGACAGGTCAAGAAAAACCAGAAGAAAAATGGGGATCTGGGCGACGGCTGACCCATAGAAAGGACATCCTATTGACAAAAATGACGTGGCCCTTGCTGTGGCCTCTTACACGTCTGACGCTATGGGCTGCTGAAAGCAAAGCCCGATAAAGAAAGATGTCGTGCGGAAATTTCATTGACGGAAAGGAAGTCTACGTCACGAAGCGGTTCATGACACGATCGATTAGGAAAGCTACGAAGATCTCAAAGCGGGCCACCCCGAATCAAATATAGCCCTAACGAAATTTTACTCTTCGACTTAAGTGGATTAAGAAACGCCCAGTTCACGAAGAATGTGTCTGCGTGTACTGTGCCAACTTCTCACTTTGCCTCAGATCTCTGTCAAATGTCACAGGAAAGAGCATCTGAAGATTTTCGGGAATTGCGTTTTCTTTGTGACAATCCACCAGAAAATTTCTTCGTGTTAATATCCGCAGCCTGTTCGAAGAAAAAATCGCTTAGTTGAGAAAGTATGCATTGAATCTGAAGGTGAGCTAGAGTTCGGATTGTGGGAGTCTGCTGTGGGAGGTAATAAGAAACCATCTGGAGGGCAACAGCTTTCCTCAACGAGTCCAAGAAGCGGACGACAAAATACATATCCCACTCTTATATCAAACGCGCTCAACGAAATATCAAATGCCTCGAAAAAGCGAATGTACAGCCACGTGCCGTGATCTTACATTTAGATTTTGCCCAAAACTGGAGTTCTGTCATCCAGAGGACCCTGCAAAGCTACACCCTCTGAAAGAACAAGATGGTGACGGTCTTCACCTGCCAAGCCACGACCACCAAGGGAACACTAAACTTTGGAGTGGTGAGTGATGACGTTTGCCACGACTCTGCACACGTGCTCTTTGGACTCGCATTTAGTGAAGAACGACGTGAGGAGCTGCGGCCCGTGTTTTCTGATCTAATTTATATTTCTGACCGAGCTCCAAGACATTCTAAAAAATCGTTCACAGTTATACCAATAGGAGAATAAAAATGTCACATGTGGGTCTACTCAGCATCACGGCACGGAAAAAGCGCGTGCGACGGAGTGGACTGTGTTCACAAGAATCACGCATCAATACGTATTAAAAAGAAACGTAGTTGAATTCTATCACCGACGTACTCACCTTTGTTAAGAAACTGAGCCATAAAATCGAGGGAATAGTGCTTGTTTCAATCGCTCAAAAATGGTTAACCCGCTTTCGGGAGTCAAAAAAGGTGTGTTAAGAAGGTTAGGGTGTCAAAGGGCAGTTAGTCCTCTAACGTGCGGGGCAAAGCAAAGAAGCGAGGTGACAATACCGTCCTATTGGAAAGAGTGTGTAAAACTCCAGAGTAGGCCGGACAGATATGCTGGGACCATAAACCGAAGAGACAAGCATATTTTATTATATTGCATTCACTTCGCCCCCCTGGGAGTGGGCTCCCGGCAGTGAGACGACTGCATTAAGTCTTGAACAGTGAATTGCCTGAATTCTGGGCTGTCCGAAAGTTAACTCAGTATCGCAGTGAACTAGTATCTAAAAACATGCTCCCTTCTAATAACGTAACTTCAATATTATTCGTGTTTATGATTGTTTATTCACTGACCTTTTCGTACTACAAAGAAGCGCCAGTCCCGTGTTCTCTACCGTTTCCGTTCTA